AACTCTCCCGAAATGAGCACGTTGGAACTGAACCACCAGTGCTCAGACACAGCCACCCTGGATATGGACTGCATGATCTGCTTCAACAAGTACAGCATCTACAGAGTCCCAAAGCTCCTGGACTGCCAGCACACCTTCTGTGCCGTCTGCCTCAAGCTGATCCTCAGGAAAGAGGAGAACACCTGGACAATCACCTGCCCTCTTTGCAGAAAACCCACCTTGGTGTCCGGAGGGCTCATCCGCACACTCCAGAATAAAGAAGACATCCTGGAGCGCTTGGAGAGCCTTGATTCAAACCCTGAGATGTACATCTGTGCCATGGGGCTGGGTGGCAACAGCTGGACTCGGAGCAGCCAAGACATTTTGAACACAGAGGAAAACAGCCCAGCACACAGCAGCCTGGCTGTGCAGAGACTCCTGCTGCTCCTGCTGCTTGGGGTGATCCTCACCATGCTCATCCTGCCCTTCATGTACTCAGGGAGGGTGAAGTGGGTAATTTGTCTCCTGCTTGCTTTGGGGTTGCTCATGTCTATAGTGCTTTGCTGCACTCCTAAATTCCACTGCAGGTGCAAGAAGGACTCCCCTGCCTCCTGTGACAAGGAGATCCACGTTGTTACTGTTGCCTGAAACAGCTAACCTGCCTGTCCCGCAGTTCAGGGACTGGACCAGTGTGCACACTGGGCACACCAGTGAATTTTGGACTTAAAAACAATCTCTCAGAGAATAAATTCAACAGTTGGCTGAGCTGGCTCAATGCCAATGCACACTCTTGTTAAATTTCATTTCTGCAAACAAAATGAACTATTTATATGTTGATATTTATGTGTTTTCACTTCTTTTTTTTTTTTTTTATTAGTAATTGTGGTTTGCTTTTGCCATTTTGTTCATGTCTGTGTCCCCTCCTGATCAGCCCTGCAGGATGTTATCTGGAACACCTGGGAGGTGATGTCCTGCAAAACCCCGGGTTGCTGTTCACACTCTGGACACATGGACACCTTTCCTTGGGACAGTGTGGGAAATAAGGCTGCTAAATCAGGGAGTGGGTGTTTGGAAGAGAGTTGTTCTAACCCAGATTATCACCGTAATCCCTGGTAGGGATGGGAAAAGGGGATGTCAGTTGATGCTATTTGAAGTTACACACAAAATTGGAGAGGAAGAGGTAAAATCAACATTCTGATCTTGAGTTTGTGGTTTGCAAAGGGCAAGGCTCAAAAACCTCATGACCCTCCAAATTCCCCACATTATTTAGCACAGAAATAGTTCCTCTCAACTGAATTCCTTTATCTGGCAACCTGCAGGACCTCTCTTCTTGCCCCCTTTTACACTGCCCTTGAAGATGCTCACAGAGGTAAACAGAAATCCATTGACTTCTGCGCCACACCACGTGATATTTTTAAATGGAATGTCTCCATTAAATTTAAATAATATGAACTGCTCATTGACTTCTTTGTTTCAATTTCTCATGGACAATTAATGTCAAAACAATTCCTAGTTTCCTTATTGACAGGAATTGCAGCTGAGAAAGCATATTAAGGTCTCTACAGAACTAAGTTGGTGAGTAAAGCAAAGCAGTAAAGTGTTGGAGTATTCCTTCATTTAAAAAAATACTTAGGTGCTAAGAAAATACCCTGAAACCCAACTAAAATTAAACTGAGGGAAAAAGATTTCTCTAGTTAAACTGTATGTTTAAGTGTGTCAAGTATCTCAAGAGACCTTGGATCAGGTAAATATTTGTGTTTGATAAGAATGGAAACTGATGTCCTGCAGTTCTCAGTATATAAATACAGAGTGTCTCACAGCAGATAAAGCAGATTAGACTAAGAGGGTAGGAGTTCTTGTGCAGCTGAAGTCTTGGAAAACACAGGTTTGTTTTCTGCTAGGAACAGGAGTCTTCAGGGGAAATAAATCCTTTGGATTTTCTCATCTCTTTGGGCAGCAACTGCAGGCTTACTGCAGAATACATATGACATTTGCTAATAATCAACCACAAAAAAAGCTTTCCAGTTGGGAAAAAAAGGCAGGTAGTTTTAAACCCAAATACTATATTGTTCCAAATATAAAAACTGGACCAGATATTTACCTTGCACTTGACAAGTCTTAAAAGCTCACAGACAGACAATATTCTTGTTGAATTTCCTTCACCAACACCAGTGGGTGACGGGTACTGTAAAGGTCTGTGACAAATGAATTAATATTGGCCTGAACAGATCACTCACAAGGGATCCTGCCACCAATGTATGTTTTCAGCACGTGGGTGTGAAGAAATGAAAACAGAATGAACACAATCAGTGAAATCTGTTATTATGCTTCACCATGCCCCTCCAAAAGAGTTGTTTTATTGCACTACATTCAACAGAATCAAAAGAAAAAAAAAAAAGGTCAAGAGGAAAAGGCAGCATACAGAAGTGTGATTTCCAGTGTGAGACTGGCCCTCTGAAAGAATCCTTATGGATCCATAGAGTTATAGTTTCCTCTCATAGTGCAGCACCTTCCAAGCTCTCCTTCAGCAGTTCCACTGAAATGTTTTGCAGACCGAGGACCATGAACACCCAGGTGATTCAGAGTTCCCAGATGCCGGTGGCAGTCATGAGGCTCTGGAACCTGGTACCTTTTGATCAGATTCCCATCTGACAGGATAATTAGGCTCAATAACCATGCAAGACTTTGCAGCGGCAATTAAGTTTATAGAGAAAAGGTTAACGGGACTATACTTCTATTCCAAAATATAAAGGATTTGCTTGTACTCAAGTTTAATTCATGTTGATCATTTTGGTGAGAAAGTTTCAGCTCAGAGGTCCCGTGCTCTGTTTATCTTACCTGGCTAGCTCCTGATTTTGGATAGTAACTGGGTAATGCACTGTGGCCTGGGAGAGAGGAAATTATAATGAGAAATGGGCTAGGCAGCATCCCCTTATCCCTCGCCATCCCCTCATCCCTCGCCATCCCCTCAGGTTATCCCGGGGTCAGCTCGGTTGGTTGGAGCATGGTACTGACAGCACCAAGATCGTGGGTTTGATCCCTTCTACGGGCCATTCACTTCATGATCACTCCAGGAGCACTGCGGGTCCCTTCCAACTGAGAATTCAGAATTCAGAATACGCCGTGACCCCCTCAGCGCCCGCCAGCCCCTCGGCGGCGCGGCTCCCGCCCTCAGCCGCGCCGATGGCGCAGCGCCGGCGGGCAGGCCGGCCGGGCAGGAAGGGGCGGGCGCTGGCGGCGGTAGTCGGTGCTGGGTTCCCGTTCGCGGTGCTCGGCTCCCGGTGCTCGGTACTCGGCCGGGCCGGCAGCAGGTCGGGCGGCTGCGAGAGGGGCTGGGCGGGAGCAGCTCCGCGGGCTGAGGGGCGAGCGGGCGGCGGTCGCCTCAGGCTGCTCGCTGGCTCTCGCCGCCGCTTCCCTCCCCTCAGCGTGGCCAGAAGCGCCGCTTTCCGTAAATGAGCGCCTGTGATGGATCAGCTCCCTCCCCTCAGCGTGGCTAGAAGCGCCGCTTTCCGTAAATGAGCGCCTGTGATGGATCAGCAGAGACTTCCGACGTGAAGGGCTTGTGGTAAACGTGAGCGCGGGCAGCTGTGGCGGTGTCCGCCCTCACGGCTCCCCCGGCTGAGGTGCCGCCTTCACGCTTCTCCATGTGCTGTTCCCTCTCCGCAGCTTTGCTCACCCGCTGTGAGGACATCGCTTCTCAGCCGCTGCTGTGCAAACTTCAGGATTAACTGAATTAAACACGCTCACTTTTCCAACTACTTATGCTTTGGGCTTCTCCATGTCCCTGTCCCCTGGAGCTCTGATCACTGTGACCCATCCATAATGCATTTTCATGTTTTTGCATTGAGACAGTACTGAATTAACGGCATTCCGTAATTATACCTTGTATCTACAGATTAAAAGCAAAGGATGTGGTGCTCCCAGCACCACTGGAGCCATGTGCAGGTCCCCAAAAATTCTCTTTTGCCCAAATGTTTCCACAGTCACAGCGTTGTGTGCGATGCATAACCACAAGTGGGCTGTGCTGTCCCCACTGTGCCTTACACAGAACGATTTGGCCAGCCTTGTCTTGAATAATTACCTACAACCTCATTAACTTTGGGAGGTTGTGGAGATGATGGTTTGGTTGCCTTTGTCACAGTTTAGTACAAACAAGATGCCAGCCTGTCTCTATTTCCTCTTTCAGCTGCGGGGAACCCGTGTATTGTACAGCTTTAAATCCCCAAAGGAATTATTATCTTTCTGCTTTCCAAACAGGATTGTGTTATCTGCTATATAAAATACATCATTTCTCAAGAAAACAAAGGGCTTTGTTTGAAAATTGAGAGCTGGAAGTGATAAAAAATTTTCTTTCAAGTGACAGTTCAGATTATGGCAATACTGTTGATTGCTGAATGACATTGTTCAAGGCACGGATCAGAATTCCAGTGCCATGAGATGTAAAAACTTTTGGAATAAATAACATTTGGAATATGTTTTTAACTCTCAATTCCCTCATCTTGGATTTGTGGCAAAACTTCTTGACCCGAGTTTTCTTTAGTAAATCACACTCTGCCCTTTTTTTTACTCTGTATGTCTGAAAATCCTATGCCCATTGTTTCTTATGTGTTTATAAGGAAAAAGATACCTGTGTAGAGGGAAGTACATTGATCTGAACATCTTCAGAGCAAAGCCTTCCAGAAACTTTCTCTGGATATTTTAGCTCCTCAGCACTCTGAATTGTTTGTTGCATGCCATGGTATTGCTCCATAACTGCTCCATATTTTATGTTATTAGGAAATTAGGTTAAACAGTTGTACTGCTCATAGATCTTTTTTTAGCTGCTTCACATTTCATATGAGTGCAAGTTAAAAAATCAATAAATCTGTCAGAGAAGGGGGCTTTATTTTCAGTGCTGTCTCCTATAATGTGTCCAGAGGTGAGCAGACATGACAAATAATTGTAAAATTATTGAAACTTTAGCATTAGATTATTCCTGGGAAAATTGATCTGGAAGTTTGGATGTTTAGGATTTTTGAGTAGGAAGACAGGACAGACACCTTTCTTAGAGGACCATGACAGATGGCATACAGATAATAAATTCTGAAAAGAGCAGCTCCTGTTGCAGTTTTTTCTTTTGGGGCTCTAAAACGATCCATAAATGGTCTGCATCCCCTGGGAGTCACTTGTAGTGTCATGGGCTCCTAATTCCTGTTTAGCCAGGGTGTGGAAGAAAGGAAACATTTTCATTTGAGCTATAAAATGAAATGGGTGATTTGGGCCCCTTAGAAACTGATTGGATCTTAAGGTAGTCAGTAGAAATTCCAGATGATGGAAGTGAGCCCTAGACCAGGTTGTTACCCAGGCTGAATTTGCTATGAGCTGTTGTCACCTCTGCCTGAGGTCTCAGTTTGCTGCTGGCACCATCATGGGAGCAGCTGGAAGCCTATCACTTGAAAATTTGCACATTTACACTCTAAAAAATAATAGCTTGCCCCAGCTCACGATCCGTGTGGTGCAGGGATCTTACTTTTCGGGAAAGAGCAGTGGCAGGTTGTATAGAAGCAAAGCACAGCAATGACTGTGGGACACATCAAAATCCTTCTCAGAGGCTGTAGCTGGACTCAACTTTCCTAATGCTGTCAGCAAAACAAACAGGAGCAATTTGAGCTCAGGATGAGGGAGGAAAATTGTTTCCCAGCCAGGTGGTCCCTGCATCAGAGGCAGAGCTTTTATTTTCATGTTATTTTTGCAGTAAATGTGAGACTGATAGGCCTGAATGGAGCCCAGTCCCAAAAGGAATTTGTCCTTTTGCAGGTTGAAATACTTATGATCACCTAATATTGTGTAAAATATTTCAAAATTGGTGAACTGTTCTTCTGTGTCTTCTTTGGTCACAGCAGTGTGTCAAAGGCAATTTGTCTCCTCACTTCCTGGTTTCTAACTGTTTACTGTTGTTTTTGGTTTTTTTTGCTGCTTTTTCCTCCTTGAACCTGCAGGTGAAAATGGCTGCGGAAGAGAAGGAGAAAGGCTGGGCTTCGGAACAGCAAGAGGCGGCTGAGCACGGCGGGGAGAGCGAGCCGGGCGTGCTCCTGGGCCGGCGGCTGCCTGAAGCCGGGAGATTCGCGTACGCGGCGCTGTGCGGCATTTCCCTCGCCTGGCTGTTCCCTGAAAACGAGCAAAGGTACAGCTGCAGCGAGGCCTGACAGGCCAGGTGGATTTTGGGGGGTGGCTCAGCCAGAACTGGTGTCAGACCCCGTGCGGGGTCTTCTGAAGTTGGGGGAGTGGAAGAATCTGTCTTGCACCTGTAAGGCTTTTACAATTCACCACAAAACACACCTATTAACACTGCAGACATCAAAGCACATTCTGAAGCAAGATCTAGTCCCACTCAGATTGTTTCCTTGTTTATTTAGCCAGTTTGTTTAGCAATTCACCTTCTTCTGACTCCTGCTGCTTTGATTTTTGTGTGACTCAATGTTTGAAACCAAGGACTGCTCAAAGCTTCCAAAAATACCCAGTTGTGGAGCCTTGAAATACCCACTTGTGAAGCCTTAACTGCTTGTGTTGCCTTACAGCTCCTTCAGGACAGACTTCATCAAGGGCTTTGTGAAGTGGCTGGACCTGCCTGATGCTGTCTTACCTGCCATGACAGCTTTTTCTGATGGCTTAGGAGGTGAGGGCACAGAAACTTTCACTGAAATTTTGCTGAAGGATCCCATCTTGAAAGAAAATCCACTTCTTATTACCCAGGTAAGTCCATGTGCTCTCCTTTCCCTTGTTTGCTTCACAAAAGAGGTTTGCAGCTGAAGTGCTGTTTGTGCAGTCAGGGAGATAAAATCAATATTTCTGTTAGGTGTTTTTTATAAGCAGCTGTGGGGGAACTGGCAGTCCATCCATAAAGACCTCATGGAAAGGATGAGCGTGAAGCATGGTCACTGTCTACTGAGTTGTGTCTTTGATGGTGTCACTCTACAGAACAGAGAACTGACAAAGTTTTTACTTTGATTGTGTAACTGCAGTGGTCTCCATTCATACACATGTTGTACAGATTTTAGTGACATCCTAGTAGACATGAACACAGTAGACATGATTGTCACTTATTTGAAAGCCCCTTCACTGTATATGTATCACAAACCACCTCCACATACATGCTCCAAGGAGCAAAATATCCAAAGTCTTTTTCCCAGAGTACATTTTGACCAGAAGGAAATGATTTTGACTTTATTTTCTTTCACTGAGGAAATGAAACTGGGACTGCTTCATAATGTTCTTTGGTAAAAGCTGATGCAAAGATAAAATATGTGAAGCATTTTGGCAGTGTTTGCTTTTGCTGGGGAAGATCTCTTCTAATCCAACCTCATGTTATGCCATGCAGGGTGAAGAGAGCGTTAGCTGCTGCTAGTGCCACACAGAAGGCGGGCACTGTCACCCTGTGCCAGACACCCTGCCTACACCCAGTGCTCTGGTACTGACTGATTAAGGGCTATCACTCACTCACCTTGAGCAATGGCCTGGCAGAGCAGCAAATGTGAGAACTCGGCTATGTTAGGGGAGATAAGAGAGCAGTGAACTTCTCTGGTCACCTTGACCGGTTCCCATTTCTTCAGCCACCTTTTCCTGTCTCCTGTCCATGAAATGCCTCAGAGGATCTGCTCCTGGTCCAAATGTTCCAGTGCCCAAAGTCCTACAATAGTACAAGGACAGCTACAGAGATCTTAATAATTTAGAGCAGATCTTCTAAAATAAAAGTGGCTCTTTGGATGCTCTTTCCTCAAATTCAATACATCCACACTGATTCTTTCTGCCTTGATGCGCTTCCTGCATTGTTTCCCTCATTCTTTCTGCCTCAGGATGGATTCTCTGCATTGAGGCAGATTTTCCTGCATTGCTGCTGAGTTTATTAAGGGTGAAATTTAGCTTGTGCTAGCTCTGACCTTATGCTGCATGGGGATTCCATGTGCTTGTACAAAAGTGGCTTGTACAAAAGTGGCTCTGGATCAGCGGGAGCACATGGGATTTTGCCCTGATAGGAAACTGAGGATATCCTCTGGATTTTGGTGGAATACAGGAACCATAGACAACTTTGATCAGTTGAAAGCAAAGAGGAGGAAAAACTATCAGTCTAATGTCGCAGCAACAATCCCTTAGGCATGTGGGCAAGATGATTGATTTTGTCAGAGGAGAGGCAGAATGAAAGACTTCAGCAGAGCAAGGCAGCAGAGGTGTGTCTGGAAAAAAACAGTGGTGTTTGGCAAACATCAACGATAAGCTGAGATCAGCTTTTTCCTTCTTACCTGGAAATAAACAAGCTACAGGACAAAGCTTTATGAATTATTGATCTTTTGCTTTGTGGTTTTAGTGCTCCTTTGTATTCAGCTGCTACTGATGCAATATTTACTGTTTATTAAGTATCTGCTGTAATTCCTCTGGGCATTCAGTGGGGAAGGTCTTGCTGGCACTAATGCTGCATTTTTTGAAGGCTCTTCATGTCAAAGGAGCTGAAGAGATGATCCATGAAGTCAGGAGATTGTGAGCTCACCATTGATTCAATGGACATCTGAGGATTATGGATTGTTATCTTCGTGTCTTTTGTGTCATTGCAGATGACTAACACAGGCAGATGGTGGTAACTGAATCCTTTAAAGACAGTAGTCATAGCAGGCTGTGGGTGTGGTATGAGAAGGCAATGTAATAAAAAAGGCGTAGAAGCTATGATAGGTGATTAGACATTGAAAATTCTTACTATTAATATGTGTTTTGCTCTGAACATATCTAGAATGCCCATTTTCCAGTGGTTTCCTACCCACATTGACTGTAATGTGGATTTGGGGCTCTCTGTTGTTAAGGAAGTGGGTTTTGAATTTGCATCAACTCAGAAAAAGCTGGCAAAGACTGAATAAAGACTCCCTGCTTTTTTAAGGCTTCTCAGTCATATGGGTGGTTGTCTTGTCATGGAGTTTTCATGGAGATTCAAAACACTGACTTCAGAATAAGGTTGCAATATAACAACTGCTGCTTAGGGAGGAAAACAAACCAGTTGTGAACTAATATAATCACTTCTGGTTGGATTCCAGCTGCCTGCATGTGCAATATGTGTACAGCCTAAACCACAGCTTAAATTTGAGTGTACTAACTGGCATGGATGCTATAAACGCAGTTTTTGCAGTTTATCACCTGTTTACCTATGTGCATCCCTGACCTTTTGAAAGGCTTGTGTGTATGTGTACCTGCAGATTTATTTGGGGTGGTTTGATACGAGGTGTCAGAGGTGATACTGGGCAGACAGGACAGGACCTGAGTCACAGCCCTGGCTCCCTGAGCCTCACTCACGGAGAGTTTATTGCCCACAAACCATCACCTCTTCCAGAGGCTGCTTATGTCAGTCCATGGAAAATTGTGGCAACAAGATCGCAAGCTTCACCTTATTCTAGACTCAAGGCCCTTTGCTTGGTCAGCTTTTTGCTCAAGGCGCACAGCCCTGCACCTTCTGCTGGCTTTGACACCTCTGTGCCAACTCTTCCCCCAGAAATGCACCCAGAGAGGTGGTGATGGTGCCCACATAGTTCATCCCTGGGCACTCCCAGTACTCAGGCTTTGGGAAACCAGTTACATCCCTCCCTCTGTACTGGTGTATCCAATTCCCACACCCCACCAGCCAGCCTGGGGAGCAGTCTGCAGTGTGTCCCTCTTCTGGTTGGTTCAGGATGGTTTGTTCTGCATTCTGCACTTCTCATGGGTAGGACTCTCAGGTTAGAGACGTTTTTACTATACAAACTGTGCTTGGGAGCTTACAGGACTAATAATCATAAACTCTTTGGCAGCCTCCTACATCTTTGGCTGCATTTTCTGTGTTCCCAGAGGGCTGAAAGGATTCTGTGTAAAATTCAGCTGTATTGTATTTGTGTGTAGGAGAGGGAAGCAGCTCAACTGAGCTGGTGCTTAATGTAGTCACATAAAGAGCTTAGAATTTGTCCAGTGGCAATAAAAGAGGAGAACACAGTTGTAAAAACACTGGTCTCTTTTTCATGGATTTATCCATAGAAACCATCTATTGAATTGATTTGTTTTTTCTTTTTTTTATGGTAAAGAGCCAACCCAGAAGTCAAGTCCCTCAATCTTGATAGATGGCCATAAATTCTGAGTTTTAACTCACTTAATCCAAAAGAACTTCATGCCAGTTCAGCCTTACTGCCTAAAGCTGTGAATTCCCAGGACGCCAAAGAAAACAGGGGCCATTAGAGGAACATTCAAACCTGTTAGTGATGCTGCATATGTGACTGTAGGGAGCAGAAGGCATTAGAATGGAAGGATTAGAGCCCTGCTCTTCCAAACTTGGAAGTCTGGTGTAAGATCAGGATCATAAAGATCAGGATCATAACAAAATAACAAAGAATGGGGAATGTCTTAGCATATACCAGGCATAATCTGCTTCTGTCCAGCCCTTTGTACTGGCCTTCAGAGAATTTTGAACTGGTTTTGCCCTGTGCTGCCTCACTGAGTTGTAACTTTCTGCTTCCCTCTTATGAATTCAGCTGCTGCAGTAATTCAAACAGCCTGGTGGATTTTTTGCCTCCATTTTGATGCCTCCAGACCTACATCATCAATTTTAAATTGAATATTCTTTTTTTTTTTTTTTTTTAGGACCTTTTATCATTCTCTCTTCAAGATGGTAAGTTTACTTTTTCTTTGTAAAAATAATATAGTTGAGTTTACATCTGATACTTTAAAGTGCTCAAAAAGGTACTATCCTATTTCACTTCAGCTTTCCCTCTGGCAAAAACTGCACACTCTTTCCCTGCATCCCTTTCAGGGAAAACAACTCTTCTTTTAGGAATGGTTAATAATACCCGCTGAAAATTGAAGAGCTCTTCACCTCCTTACCTTCACACAGCATACATTGGCAAGCAGATGTAAATGATGCTGGAGTGGGGTGGGTTTCCCACAATGTTTCCAGGGAATCAGGTGATCTCTTCCTTTAGGAAGGCAGTAAAGCTATTATGAAGATCTCAGCCTAAAATATTTTCTGCTGGTTGCCTAAAAAAAAAAAAATCAGGGTATAAATTCCAGAATGTCCTTGGAAGCCCATTATAAATCAATGTGAGTTTTCTCACATATTATATTACACATAAAACAATTCTCTGGCTTGCAATCCATTACATGGATTAGTCTGATAAAATTAATGAAATAAAGACTGTCTGCTGAACAGAATGTTCATTTCTAAAAGAAACCTGGATTCTATCACTGCTTGCATTTTTTTAATCTCTGTGTTTTAGCATGTTCTCACAGGAAAGAACTCACTGGTTGCTGATTAGCCTGTTGCACTACAGAACAAAACAAGTTTTGTTCTTACTTTATTTTTAATGGAAAATTGACAAGTCAGTTATTGCAAAACTGCTTATTTTGTGAAGCTGGAATTTAGGAGAAATATCTTTCCAAGCCTCACTGCCTTCCCACCAGGCTGGTGAGGAAGGAGCACAGCAATGTCAGCAGACAGAAAAAAGAAGAGGCTCATTCCGCCTGCCTGGACTTGCAGGACGTGCCACATTTCGGGAAGGAGTGAAGATAAATCCTGCCCTCATTTCTCAACTAAGCACAAAACTGATGAAGAGTGTCATTAAAGGCTACAGAATTAGTTTGGTATCTCGGTATTTATGGTAATAAACAATCTTAATATGGCCCAATGCCATATTTGATCTACGTGCAGCAGGTATCACAAACATTCTTTGTAATTGGCTCTTGCTGGTATCTTCACCCACCTTGAGAAAAATAATTGTGTTTTTCATCCCAGAGTGCACCAAGAACCCTTTATAAAAGCCAAACATCAGGAAGTGGTAGGTGCTGCTGAGAGAAACACATTAAAAAAGCACGAGTTGGCACAAATAATTTAAAATCTATTACATTTAAGATGTCTTTTCTTCTAAGATGTCTTTTCTTCGAGAACACCTGCTTACAAAACCAGGAGTAATCAGTTCTGTTGTCTGAGTACACTGTCCACTCCTGCATCTCCAGCAGGGAGTGTAAAAGCAAACATTTGTCTGTGGTGCTGCTGGGGGAGCTAGTGTGTAGCTTTACACTCCTGAGTGTCTCTTTTTGCCACCAAAGAAGAAGATGAAGATTTTGCATGGAGGTGCATTTTTACAAAATGCCACCTTCCTGCAGTGGTGCAGTTTACATGGGCTGTGCTCAGTTACCCACACAGACATGTTTGATATTTCCAGTTAGCAGTGGTCCTGCTGCAGCATTTCTCTGTTGAAAAGTTACCAGCTGGCCTGTGCCACAGAAGATGGAGACCAAAGGATCGAGATCCTTTTCCTGCCACAGAGGCTTTACCTGGTGTGGTGGCTCTATTTGCAGGGAGGAAGGATTTTCCATTTATCAGTCTCTTCTCATGTTCCTGGAAGAAAAAGAGGGCCTGGGGGAAGGAGCCGCTCTGTGACACATTCCTTGAGTACTCTGCTCCTTAACTAAACTGTGTCATCAGACAGATCAGACTGATTTCCTGGGCTTTTCTCTCTTCAAGGATCCTATGATGCTCGAGCCAGGGTGTTGATCTGCCGTGTCAGCTGGCTGCTGAGACTTCCCTTGGAAGATCTGGAAGTCCTGGAGGAATCTCTGCTTGAGAGCCTGAAGGAACAAAAAGAGGAAGAGTCAGAGTAAGAACGTTTGTGTTGATATGGGATCAAAAAACACTGCCAGTGCTCAAAAACTTAGCAGTAATTACTTGTGCCTAAGTCCAGTTTCTGATTATTCCCCATATGAAATGATTCTTACTGTAATCATTTATGGCTTGATTAGGGTTACAGAGCCCTCACAGCACTTACAAGAGGAAAAGCTCAGCATTGTTAAAATCAGAGCTAAGACCTGGCCTTGCACACTGGTAAAGGCTGTTCTGCACTGAGCTGCCTCCTTTCCTCTTTCCAGTTGCTTCTCAGAGACTGTATATTTTGCATAAATACATCACAAAGATCTTGTTGACTCTTGGCCCAATATCCTTCAGATAGAACTGCCTCTTGCAGAATAAAGTTCCTACAGATAATCAGGATTAGATCCTCAGCTGTTCATTGTCTCTGGATCTGTTTTTAATCATCTTTAAGAGACAGCTGGATGACTCCTGTTGAAGGGATATTTCTGAGGGCAACAGGCTGAATCTTTGGATATGTACAGACCTGGCTCATAATACGTTATTAACATAGAATTAATTCTTGGTATCTATAAGAAATGTAGTATCTTTTTATTCCTCTCATCAGGCAGGAATTGTGTGACAGTTTAGCAGTATTTAAGGCAGTAAACATGTCCATAGTGGACTTTCAAGGGAAATGTTTTCATCTGTCAACTCAGCAAACGGGTTATGAGATTAGCCTGATTGCTAATAAAGCCTTCAGTTGACAGCCTTGCCATGGTTCAGCTCAGATGTTTACCACGGGGTCCAGCATGTGATGGGTAACTTCCAGTAACAGCTGTGTTTAAATAATGCTTAACTTTATAGCACACTGTAAAAAGGGAAAGTCAGAATAATCTCAAAGATCGTGGACTTCTAAACATTTGTTGTGCAGGAGCAAGGGTTGGTATTATTAATGGTGTCTGTTTTGCTGTAGTTTGTGGAAACAAACTCAGTGCTGTGTCTGATAACATCGAAAGAACAGTGTGCATTTCAAACCCTGCTGCCAGCCCAGTGGGCTTCCTGTGTGTCTGCTGTGGGATTCCTAGCTTGTCCTTTGCCCAAATTGCAGTCATGGGATTAAATGTCTATTGGATAAAAAGAGAAAAAAAATCCTTATGGTGAGAGGAGCCCAAGACCACAGTGCAAACACATTGTTGTTGCTGTGCTTTAGCAAGGCTGAAATTTGTGGGGCATTGATGACCCTTTCTTAGGTTTGAAGTCAGGAGTCAGCAGGGAAAGGAAGAAAAATATAAACCTGTCACCACCTTGACCTCACAGATTTTGGGGCTGGGAATACCATTATGCACTTGGGACGCTTCCAGCTTTGACCAGCAAGAGGTTTTGGAGCAGAAATAACCAACCAGAGGTTTGGCAGCTCCTGCACAGGTGTTTTTACTGATATTTGTTAACAGGAGGTTTTGTTCCTGCCTTTGCTGCTGTGGATATGTTGGATTGAGGCCCAGAACCTATGAGATATACAGTCCTCTAAAGAATAATGCTCAAACCACTTAAACCATGTTAGTTGCGCCAAATGTGTTCTGACATGCAGGTGAGAACCTTTCTTTTGTAGACAGTTCTGTAAGAAACTGTAAAACTTCACAACATTCACTTGCTAATGTGTGCTCCTGCACCTTTTCGTATTGGAAAATCACCTGAAATTCCCCATAACGATCTCTCTGAATATAATTTGCAGTTCAGGCAAGAAGCTGCACATCTGAGCTGGGTGAGAGTAGAGAAATACCAGAAGCAGCAGTTAATTACCACAATGGATAAAAGCAGTTTGGTAATGCAGTGATAATGGTAATGGAGGAGCCATTAGGAAGCAGCTGCTGGCAGCTCCAGAAGGGAAGAAGTGACAGGCAAAACTTCGTTTATTTACTGCATTGGCTGGCAGGATTTAGCTGCCACTCTCTTTCTCCCCACATAACTCAAATTGCTCATTATTCCAACTGACTCCAAGTTAGACATGTTCCAGCTCTCTTGTCATCATTCTCAGCCTGAGACACAGTGCAGTGACTGTAAAAGCTGATGAACCTCATGTAGAACAGAAACTGCTGGGCATTGCTAGCTTAGGTATGAACAGCCTAGCTGCAGCACTCGTATAATGAACTCCAGGAACAATTTTATCCTAAGCCAAGAATTCAGACTGGTGACTAAGGCACCAAGTAGAGCATTTGGTGAGGATGAGAGGAAATGGCCTCAGGCTGTGCCATAGGAAGTTCAGATTAAATCAGGAGGAATTTCTTAATGGAAAGGGCTGTCAGGCATTGGAGGAACTTCCCATTGAGGTGGTGGAGTCCCCATCCCTGGAGGTGTCCCAGGAACAACTGGACATGGCACTCAGTGCTCTGGACTGGAGACAAGGTGAGGACTGGTCACAGCTTGAACTTGATGGTCCTGGAGATCATTTCCAACCTCAGTGATTCCATGATTCTCTGATGGCCAAACCCTGCTTTGTCCATGGGGCTGTAGAAGTGGCTGTGGCTGTGCAGAAACTGGAGAGGTGTTGCTCTCTGCAAACACCGTGTTTGCAGCTGCCTAAGGTAATGAGGTTTTTTGGAGGGGCTCTGTGGAGACAAAGTCTCTGTGAGGTGCAGGTCCATGGGAGTTCTGCCAGTGAGTGCAGTGACTCAGGGATTTCACCCACTGAGCTCCATTCCCCTCCTGCTGTGCCACACAAAGCTGCATATTGTTTGGGACTCGTGTAAAATTGTCTTAATCAAAATTACAATGTGCTTAGAGGGTTCCAGGAAAGATTAAGCAATTATATGGATAATGAAAATCCAAAATTAGGCTAGGATTAACAGGGAAAATATCCAAGTTTGGAAGCAAGATAAATTGTCACATTTCAAGACCTGGATTAATTGCTGTTTAAACAGGCCAGAAGGAACCTATTTCTTGAAACAACTTATCCCAATATCCTCTGTTTCTCCCACTTTCCTCTGAAGTGGAAGCACTTCTTGTAAGAGAGAAACAAAGACAATGGAGAGAAGTCAAAAGTAGTGGCTAATAACTACAATTTGTTCCTTTTAGGTTTATTTACCTCTTTCTGATAAGCTTGTTAAAATACAGCTTAAATGCACACTGATGACTGTGTTTAATTCCTATTATATTATTATATTGTGATGTGCAATTAGAAAGCAGCTTGTAGTAAACACTGCTTTTGGAAAACAGTTTAATTGCATCTCTGTTGGTTAGCACAAATTACCCCTATTCCCTTTTATTTCAAACACTTTTCCTGTTTCTTCTTAGCTTTCTTGTGGTTTTTTTGGGCACTTAGGCAGCATGTATTTAATGAAATGCTTTTGACTTTTTGTTTCTTTTTTTTTTTTACAAGCTTCAGCCCTATTAGGAAGGGTTTTCTGAGTAAGTAATATCTGTTGGCTTTTGTCAGCAATTAAATTGTTTCAGTTTAAATCTGTGGTCCATTTAATCCATTCAATTTAAATCTCTAAATCCATGCGCATAAATCTCAGTGTGCTGTCACAGTCCACACCTGCATGTTCCTTTTTACTGTTCCTGGGAGGGAAGTTACACTGAGGAGAATAAAAGCATATTCTGATGCAGGATTGTATCCATTAAGCTTTTCCCTTAGTTTTGTAATTTTAATTCCCCAACAGAACTGCAGAAGTCTCAAGAAAAAAGAAGGAAAGAAGGAAAAAGCTGAAGAGATACCTGCTGATCGGTCTGGCAACTGTTGGGGGTGGAACAGTGATTGGTGAGGCTGCCTTGGCATTCTGGGGACACAGCATCAGGGACAGAGAGGGGTCTAACTCCAAGAAAAGTACTTTCAGCCCCACAAAAATAAACATGAAATATATAGCTGCAAAAGTTATTCCGGTGTAGCTTCACTAGCCGGGGGAAGTATTAAACTGAGGTTGTCACCCCTTAAAATGTTTTCTCCTTCTTTGCTGTTGTGTTATAAGAGGATCAGATCTTCAACTCTGAAATCAAAAGTGTGAGATTAGATCAATGTTTCCTAAACAAGCAGAGCAGAGCTCACCCCAGATCACCCCATAATCTTCCTTTGACTTTGAAATTATTCTTCATTCATCTGAAGTTAGCCAAAGAATTTGGGCAGAGACTCAGGGCCTGGGGAGGGTCTCAGAAAGCCTCTTTATTGAACATGCAAAAAGCTCTTCCAGCAGCAGTAGCAGCACAGGGAGTGCCTGCCTGGGGTTTTTAAGAGAAAAGTGTTTGGTGATGTCTCTTGCTGCATCCTCAGGTCTGACAGGAGGCCTGGCCGCCCCTCTGGTTGCTGCAGGAGCTGCCACGATCATTGGGAGTGCTGGAGCAGCTGCTTTAGGATCCACTGCTGGGATTGCTGTCATGGCATCCCTTTTTGGAGCAGCAGGAGCTGGTCTTACTGGTAAGAGAGTGACCACACCATTCTCAGCCACTGGGGCACAGGACCATGTCTGTAAACACAGTTAATGACCCCAGTGAGCTCTCTGCAAAGTTAGGGAAGTGATTTGAAGTGTAATCTGTGAGATTTTGGTCTCAGTGCTAATTAAGGTACTGTGTAGCCCTGTGACCAAATAGGGAAAGAATATTTGATGTGTGGTTAATGAAGGAAATGAAAACTTCCTGTTTTGGGTTAGAAAGATGCTGCCATGGAGAAAAGTAGCTGTTACAGCAAAAAAAAAACCCTTCTGCTGGATTCCCTCAAATCACAAGCTCAGAAAGATCATGTTGGCTCCTTAGTAAGCTATAAGTAATGCATGGGCTGACTGAGGGTTTTGGAAATGAAAAAAAACCTCTCCAGATTACCCAATTAATTTCTTAACAAACTCCTACTGTTAGCAGAGGGTGTCCTTTCTGTGCCATCTCTGAGCCTTGTGTTTCTTCCTGGCTGTGTGTAGGATACAAAATGAAGAAACGTGTGGGAGCCATAGAAGAGTTTGAATTCCTCCCACTTACGGAAGGGAAGCAGCTCCACATCACCATAGCAATCACTGGATGGCTGTGCACTGGCAAATATGGTAAGAACATGATGAAGAAACTGAGAGGAGCTCCAAGACCTGTGTGAGAGACTCCAAGGCTGTGTCCCACTCCAGGCTGTATTTGTGCTCACAAAGCACCATGTCTGCCCCACATTTCCATGGCATGGTAACTGAACCATATCAATTCTCACCATAAGTCTTTGCAACCCAATCTGCAACCCCAGGCAAGCAGAGGAAAAAATAGAGGGCATTATGCTGATGGTGATAGCAGGACTGGGAGCAGCCGTAGCAGGATTGTTTCTGATAGGAACTGTTGCATGGTTTTGCCAGAAAAGGTCTGTCTGGGGATGACTGCCAGCACTAGTACAAAGTGTCTCTGAGACCTTATGTTTATCTGCCAGGAATTAACAGAAAATAATGTGGTTTTGCTCTCTCCATATCTGCCAGCTAATGAGGTTTATTGGCAAGAAAGTTCTGTCAAGTAAATCCTGTTAAGCACAGTACTCCAAAGGTGATTTAGGAAACCTTGCAAGGTCTGTAGTGATTTATTTTCCAGTGTAGCTTGTCATATAAAATATGTCACCTGCCTGCTAATGTGCTCAGCTTCAGCTGCCTGAACAGCTGCCAGTTTATTGAGAAGTACCATAATGAATTCTGGATATCATTAATGCAGAAGGATGCCTTGCCCTGTCACTTGCCAGGCTGCAGCTTGCTGTCACAGGGAACTTTTCCTCACTTTGCAGTGCTGTACTTTGGCTTCTCTCTCTGCTTGCCAGAGGTCCAAATCCTCAGAGCTGGAGGGCTCCCAGGCACAGTTAGAGAAGCAAGTGTGTCCCTCCAGGAACATTTTGTGTCTGTTTGCCCGTAAAAGGGAGTTAGAGATGACACACATTCTTCTTCCATAACTAGCAATCTGCTAGAATGTTTTAAAGAGCAAAACTAGGGTTGTCATCCATTTTCCTCCTTACAGCAGTGTCTGTCTGTGTACACAGTCCTTCAAACAGAGGGACTGAGAACAGGAGTTACGGAATTTGCCACCTTGTGATTTTGGAGCTGCTGGTAGTTGCCAATCCATGTGTTCTCAAATAAGACACACTACTGGGGAGATCTTGTGTCACTTTGATCAGCAGCTGCCTCAACCTCACCTGCATTGTTTGGAGAAGAAACACTGTAGGAAGGCTTTTAATTAATTAAGATGACAGCTCTGCTCTGCCCTTCAGTGTTGGTCTGTCATTAATAGCATTGCTAGAATATTCCAGTGTCCTGCAGGTTCTGTTCTGATCCTCTATTGGGCTCCTCTTGCCAGGAATCAGCCATTGTGTTATCTCCAAACATGAATTCCATCTTTGCAACCTTTCCCAGGGAGCTTCACAGCCCCATGGAGCAGCATGTTGCACTCGAGTGAGCAGTACTGCCTGGCCTGGGAATCCAAGTACTTGATGGAGCTTGGCAATGCCTTGGATTCCCTGCTGAATGGTTTTGTGAACATGATGGCTCAAGAAGCCCTAAAATTCACTGTCTTGTCAGGTAAGAAACTAAATCCTATCAGATCTGCTTGACTGGCTCTTGTGCAATTTCACTGTGGAGCTTTCCTAAAGAAGGAATGTTTTGGAGGAGGCAGTTGCTGGAATTGCCCAGCAGAAGTGACCTGAGAACTTCCTCTACCACACCTGTAATTTAGCTGTGCTTTCCTGGACTGCTGAGCCACCACATCATTGCGTCATTCTGTTAAAGTTACAGCTGGAAACACCTTCCTTCACCTGCTCATTTCCCTATATTATTACACATTTACTGCTGTACAGAAACACCCCCCACACGCAGGTTACACGCACCCACCTCCATGCCAGAACATCAGACTCTTTCTTATCTTTAGTCCATCAAAGCATTTCTCAGCACACCTATTGGGAGAGAAGAGCTGGAAATTACATAAGCTCCTTGGCTTGGCCTTTAACTTCAGTGAACTCTCTTGATTTTGATGTTTTCTAAGGAACCTCTGTGTGTTGCAGGGATTGTGACAGCCTTGACTTGGCCAGCGTCACTCCTGACAGTTGCCAGTGTCATTGACAACCCCTGGGGAGTGTGTCTGCATCGCTCTGCTGAAGTGGGCAAACACCTCGCACACATCCTTCTCAGCAGGCAGCAGGTAACTGGCCACAATTATCCAGGAGTAACAGCTGGAAGGGAACTGGCCCAGGGAGGGGAAGCGTTATAGTCATGCTGGTTAAATGGTATCTTTCTAAGGGGACAAAAATGAATAAAACAAAACCACAGAGAGTGCTGCCTGAAGGTGACCAGCAGATATCTGGCTTACTGGGGAAAAGGAGGAAGTCCCAAGAGGATAAGAGAAATCCTGCTGAGATTTGTTCCATTTACCAAAAAGTTTTCTCAATGAGGAAGAAGAGATCCAGGTTATAAGTCACCTGTGATTTAACCATGTCACAACACAGGCCCACGTGTCACACCCAGGCCCACTCACCTAGTAGAAATCAGAGAGCAGGAGGTGAGGATGAATGAAAAGGAAAGGAGAATACAAAGTGATAAAAATATTTATGGATCATTAAGAGGCACCTGCAAAGTAACCTGAGGGAAAAGGGTGCAGCCAATGCCCAGTGAACTGTAGCTTTGCCTACAGAGAAAGGGAACTGGCTGGTACCTGACAGAAGTGACATAAGTCTCTCTGAAAAGGCTCAAAAAAAGACATTTCTTCCTTCCAAAAGCCTGCCAGCATTTGCTGGGCCAGCACTGTTATTTGCTGGCCACATGTTTGTCTCACACCAGTCACTGCTGATTATGGAGGAGTCCAAGGGGATCTGTGGCCCCAGAGCTTTGTGTCCCAGCAAGGTGGAACAGCAGAGGAGGAACAAACTTAATTTCTCATAAAAACCCAATCCTAGAAAACTCAATAAGCTTTATTTCATACAAGCCCTTTCTTTTTCTATGAGGCATTTGTTCTTGCCTGATAAGCATTTGCTGTTGTGAAAACACACATTCCAGTGTGCTAGAGAGTCTAAAACTAGTTAATGAGATGTCTAGGGTGTCCATCGCACACCTGCTCCCTGGATATTACAAAGACCATTTTTCATTGATGTTTGGATTAGGCTCCCTTTAATCTTACAGAAAATCTTATTAGGCTGTTCAAAATAAAAGCTTAAACCTCAAAAGCCAGATCAGCTTTTATAACCATTGCATGCTGCTGCTGTCACTCAGCCTGAAATCTGGAAGTGGTCAGTATTTTTGTATTACGGCTTCTTCTTCTGTGTATTGAAATATTTCTAGGAAAATTTTGTTCCTTTAATAAGGTATTCATTTGGAAATTTCAAACCAACAACAACATCTGTTTTGGTTCTGTTTGGAACATCCACTTTGTTGTAACTTCTGATCATTAGACTGTTTTCAGTTGATTTTCTGAAGATCAAAACACACAAAGTACTCAGATATGTAGCATTCTCCATATTGACCTAGGCATAACTTTGAGGAGACCTGATCCCTTTGAAACGAACCAAATCGCTCCAGTATTTCAAAGGTGGTGCAGAAGCAGGTGCTCTGTGTCTCAGGCTCTCAGGGATCCTAAGCCCAGTCTCTCTTTCCAGAGAAAACACCATTTGGTGGTATTTTTTCTTCTCCTTTCTCAGGGCCAGAGACCTGTCACACTGATTGGCTTCAGCCTGGGTGCCAGAGTCATTTATTTCTGCCTGCAGGAAATGGCTCAGGAAAAAGGTAACATTCACCCTCTAACCATTTTTCTTTTATTTTCCTTACTCCTGGTGGAGAATTTTTTTCTTCCAAGGGGAAAAACACAGCTTGGCTCTTTTAGGATCAGATGAAAACACAAAAAATGAGGTTTAAATGCATTTGGAGCCAAATTCTTCCATCATTTCCCCCAGTCCAGCAGAAAAAATCCACTGTCTTCACTTGAGGGGTCATTTTGGTCTGTAAATAACAAGGTGACATTTGTGATCAGTCTGGAGCTGCCTATGCACTGCCTGATTCCAGCAGAGGATGCTTTGCCTTTCTCAGGAGCTCTCTGCAGCTCTTGTATCTGATTCCCTGAGTCCTGCCTTCCATTTAAGTCTCTGAAATGCCACTGTCATCTGCTATTTTCATGGTAATTTTCCCCCAAAGTCAAGTATAAAACCATCTGCCGATTTATTACCCATTGTGGTTCTGTTTATTAATAGATTTCTATTTTTAATTTAGGAAAAAAAAGGAGTAAAATCATTATGATCAGTTGATTAAAATTGTATCTTGGAGTTGAGTCAGCAGTGAGTATGTGCAGCCTGTCTTCCCCCCACATAGCAATTTAACTCATTAACCATTTACTTCACAATAAATCATAAGTAGGAATTTTCTAAAGGAAAATACCCAGTAAAGTCCAAGAAGGTGGGAACAGAGTCAAGTGAGGATGGAGAAGGTCAGGATTGACAGCTGTGTGCCAGAATTTCACTTCTTATTTAAGATAAAAGTCTTCAAATACAGGAATTCTGTTCTCAAAATAAATATAATCAAATCCAGAATAATCCTTATGGCTTTACACTGGAGCCAGAACCCAGATCGTAATCTGGCCCTAGATCTACCCTTTTTGTGTCCTGAGAATGCCAAGGGCTGAGATATTTCCAGGTTTTTATTTCAGTCTACAGGCTCTTGAATGACACGAGCCCATAACTTAGGGAGGAAATCCTTAGGGGTCTGAAAGGTTGGCTGCCACTCCAAAGAAATCCAAGTATTGTGGTGATATATCAGAACAGCTCCCACCATACACTGATTTTTCAGTCCCTTAATTGAATTCTGAAAGCTGAGCTGTTTGTGAGATGAAAAGCAGCATGTTTAGCACAGATTGCCAAGGCGCTCTCACAGGCACATTCCAGAGCAAGCCACAGAAGGAGCAGAGCTGGGACCTGGGACAGCTGAGACTGATTTGGGTTTGGACTTGGATGTCTCACACGAAAGGAACATACGGCCTCGTCATGCAGGGCTCTGTATCCAGATGGCAGTGGCATTTCTGAGGAGAAACAGCTAATGATGGATTGGCCAGTAAAACACCATGGCAGGAACACAGATTCTGTTCAAATGCTTCTCTGCAAAGCAATGGAATAACCTTTGGATACTTCATCACAGATCACTTAGGGAGCCAGAGCTCAGCAGGTTTCCAGAAAATGACATTATGGCAGAAGCTGGAGTAAATGAGCCACGTTGCTGTGTGGGAAGATCATTGCTCTGTTTCTTCATCGTGATTCCCATGCTTTTTAGTAAATACTTAGCAATTAGCAAACTAATGCAAATCGATAATGGCTGTTACCACCAGAGACCAAAGCTTGAAACCCAAGCTGTGTGTGACAGGAGTGAGGTGTCACACACTGGGTGTTTGGTTCTGATCACAGCTCATGTGACCAATATCCCACTGAGCTGTGATCCCTGCTGTGCTCAGTGTTGGGAATACTGCTGCCAACTCTGCCCTGGAATATCTGTACACAGCCAGAGCTGAATTCTAGTCCTCTGCTCCCTCCAGTCAGGCCTGATGTGCTGAGGTGCTTTCCCTTTCCCAGTGAGGTGCATCCCTAGGGCACAGCAAAGCCCAGCTCTCAGGACTGGTTATGGTCTCTGGGACAGCTTCTTTCTTCCACTCTCTTTCTGGAGAAATTATCGTGATCAGGTTTAAATTTTGGCCTCTCATTCTCACTCTGTTCTCACTTGCTTGGACTTGATTGGAAATTTTTCTTTATAAAACTCCTTATTCATTACATTCATTAGCCAATCCCTATGAGGCTCTATGGTTAATTAAGCTTTTTTTTTTTTTCCGTGGCTTTTACAGACTTCATTGTTTTTCATCATCTAAAAGATTTAAAAACTGTGAAATATATTTAATTTATCTCAAGCCTCAGCTGCTCTGCAGGCCAATGATCTGTTCCCAGCTTTCTATCCTGTCAACATTCAAAGAAAATGAGCATTTTTCAGCCAAGGTTAAACATCTTTTTTTTTTTTTTTGGTCTGAGCAAGCAATAAGCTGGACGAAGGACTGGAGAAACAAAAGCTTGCAACACCTTGCCCAAATATTCAGGATCCTGATGAATTAGCTGCTTGTTTATTCACTTGGCTCACATCATGGACATGGAATTTAGAACCTTGGTTGGGATGAGCTTCCTGCAAGACTCTGGGTTTCCTTTTCATTGCCCCTAATTATGGGAACAGGGCTTTATTGCTCACAAATTATACTCACAAAATTGAATTGCTCTTTGCTCTTTTTCATTGGTGCAAAAAATGCTCAGCAATAAGAAATAATTCCAGGAGAGCTCATTTGGATTTGTCAGGCATGGGATTTACACTGTGAAAAAGGATGCAGGCACTGCAGGCAGCTCCAATCCTTTACTGCTATCAGGGAAAGGAAGCTAAGTGATTTACATTTGAAAAGTGTCCAGGCAGCACCTCTCCCTCAAATGTTGAGTTTAGCTCAAGTCTGTGGAGCCTGGTCTCCCACAGGTGCAGAGGATGGATTTGGAATGTTCTGCTCATGAGTCTTCCATTTAACTGCTGTGGCATCAGAGGCTTCATCTCTCTTTACAAAGATTTATGGAAGATACTGATATATTGTTCAGGAGTTTAGGAAAGTAGCAGAGCTGACCAATTTTTCTCATTCCATCATTATTCCTCCTGAAATTGCCCAGTTGCAGCTCTCTGATAAGTGAGGAAGATTTATTATGCTTAGAAGTCAACACTGCATTCAGCAAATCAGGCCCTGGGCATTCAGGAAATCAAACCAGTTTGGTAGATCTTCACTGGGTACTGGCAAATGCCTCCCTTGTTGCTACTTCCAAATGAATAGTAACAATTTGGGATTTCCTCTTGCATGTTCAGGTCATGTTTTTCATAGAATCAGCTGTGGGAAAAGTTCCTCACTCTTCATGTATGACAACCTTTGCTCACTCTGTGGGATCTCAGACCTCTTCACCTGTTTCAAAGCTCTCTGCAAACCCACATCAGTAAGTCTGCAGAAAGACCTTTCCAGGGGTTTCCAGACCTTTCCAGAGGTTTCTTGCTTGAACAGCACCTTTCTGGGCAGAGGCCAGGACCCTTCTCCCTCCTGCCATCAGCTTGGTCCTTTGCACTGTCTGAGGATCTCAGTTTTTCACATTTACTAACCCCAGGTGAATTGTGGACACTTAAGATATATGCCAAGTTTTATTTATGATCCTCCTTTCCATTGTTTCTGTCTTTCAATTTGAAGCCACCTAAATTATGATTTTTCTGTCGTGCACATCTGAACACACTGCATATAAGAATATTTTCTGATCTCTCTGCTCAATCCGAACTGTTCTGCTTTCACCTTGACAGATTCACAAGGGATCATTGAAGATGTTGTCTTACTGGGAGCGCCAGTGGAAGGAGAGGCCAAGCACTGGAGATCTCTCACCAGAGTGGTGTCAGGCAGGATCATAAATGGCTTCTGCAGGTCAGTGTGAGCTCAGTGCCCAGCCTTATTAGCCTGGAAATGGTTTGGGGCATTTGTCCCTTTCAAGTACTTTGTGAGTGCTGGTGAGGCTTGAACAGTGCCAGAGCCTCGTCCCTCCAGGCCTCTGGCTCAGACCCATTCGAGGTGGCAGCTTCAGGAGGCACTTGGAGGCTCTGATGCAGCTCTTGGCTCTTTGTGCCACTGGAAGCCCATGTAGGTCCTGTTCATAGAGGGACAGTGTTCTACATTCACAGCCTAAATTAGCTGGGTCAGTGTGTTTGTGTGTGTAATCTGACATATTCTGAAGGCCCTTTAAATCTCAGCTCTGTGTGAAGGGCTATAATTACAGCCATTAAGTTCACTGACTTAAAGAATGGGAATTAGAATCTATAAAAACTTTAAGATGCAGTTCATTTGTGGCTGCTTATGGGGAAAAAGATGTGAAAGTCACAATGGAAGGGAAAGAGCTCAAGCAAACGGAAAGGTTTTATATCTGGAGCGTGTTTCTGGTCAAGATAGTCCACATGAACAAGATATTTAATTTGCAAAGGGAGAATAAGTGGAATAGCTGTAGCAAATTTAGTAAGGCTATGAAAGAATACAAAGATTGCCTTCAAAACAAATACCAGCCCTTTAAAACCATATTTTAAAACATTTTAGAAATAAAAGCAGACAACTGTTGTGCAGAATATGAGAGCTGCTGGGTGAGAAGAGGGAGGTTCAGAGGTCTGAAACAATCTCAGAAAAGCTATTAAGTAGTCAAGTGACAGCTTCAGACCTAATGACTGTGTCTTGGAAGATAATTGTGGCAGGAACACTGCTTACCAGCACAATTAGATAAAGGGAAATTAAAACCAAGGAATGAAGCAGGGAAGACTAAGAGCATGGGGAAATAAATTGAGAAATAACCAGGCAAGAAAATTAGCAAAGAACCTGCAAGTCAAGACAGTTTATAAAGCTGTGAGCCCTCGGGTCAAGGACAGGTGAAAATGCTGCTGGTGTTTTCTATACACACATCCATATAGATGGCTACACACATGTACATGGAAGGTGGGGAAATACTGTGTTACCATGATTCTAACAGTGTTTTAACTTAGCAATAATAATTAAATAAATTAATTAAAAATATTCAAGGTTAAAACAACAAATTGTCAATCCAATCTCTCAGCTAGGCTAGAAATTGTTGCTTTTGTCCTCTTTGGATCCCAGGATTTTCAGGGATGCCAGATGTAAACACCACTTGCTGTGTTTCTTCCAGTGCCATAAGGAAAAGCTGCCTCCCTGGGAGTGCTCTGAGCACCTCCAAGAAACCATAAATTATAGAAATCATTGCATATAACTGAGTTTACCCAGAAAATATTGTTCCTGTCTGTTTGACGAAAAGAAATTTCACTGCAATAAGCTCAGTGTATCCATTTCCTATAACACACACACACACACACACACACACACACACACACACACACACACATACACAAAAGATCTTGTTACAGTTTCTAAGCCTGCCTGTTGGAATAAAATACAGTGTGTGTGTGTCTAGAAGGTTATTCAGGCAACATGAGGGGCAGCTGAAGGAGGGAATTGAGAGATTTGGGGAATTTCTGTGAGGATTGAGATAAAGAGAAGGATTATACAAACATTTTGTGGTAAGGCCTCACCTGATTCTGATTTTTCTTTGCTTGCACAAAGGGTGACCTCGTTCTGCCACTTCAGGAGTAACTCTATTTAGGTCGGATGAATTACACTGAGAATTCCTGTGAGATCAGATTTGAGCCCAGTTGTTGAGCTACAGTCCTTGTTCTCCTTTGGCTTTGGAATATGAGGGGACAGGGCGAGTGAGAGCCCTGTCAGATGTTGGAGCTGTCCCCTCCCACTTAACAGCAGGGTTGCAAATTCCCAGTGGGAAACCTCACCCAAATCAGCTGGACTGGCTCAGCTTTTCAAGGAACCCACACCTGAGCAGAGTGAATGTGTTGTAAAGGTCTTGCAGGGCTCTGCATAGACTTACAACTCCCAGTGTGGATTATTTGGGAGAAGCCAGGAATGGGCACCTGTGCCAGGAGCATTTCACCTGCTGCCATCACAGAGCACAAATTCCACTCGTGTCCCACTTCAGTCTGCTCTGCAGAGTACAGGGGCATTTCAGTGCCCAGATTTTATGCTGTTGCTCAGCTCAGAAGAGTTTTGTATTTCCTTCTCTCCTCATGCCACAGTCTACCCCAAAACTGTCACAGTGACTTATGGCACTGCTTTAGAGTGGGAACAAACCCTTCCTAGTTCTGTCACTGAAGCCATGCATTTCTGAAGTACCTATAAATCAGGAGCACTCCCAGGAGCTTCACAGTCAATATTTATGTCACAACATCAGTGTTGTAGGTCTCATCACCTTTACAGCTTTATGGCCTAGAGAGCCTGTCAGTATATGAAAAAGATGAAATACATCAATGTGCAAACCCTGAGCAAACATAGAAATAAACAGAAGGGTCAGACTTTTAAACTCACTGCAGGTAGAGAGACAGCAGCCATGGATCAGGATTCGGTTCAGACTTACACCCCTGTGTTCCAGGAACCTGCCCTGAATCCAGCAAGTGATTCCTGGTGTATTGTTACATCACACAGACCTGCAGCAGGTCTTGGTCCAGACATCACTGTGCTTCCCAGCACTTCCACTCTCCTCATGGTTTGAGTAGTAACACACTGAAAGGGTTCCAGGTCAGGTTGGACAGGGCTGGGAGCAACCTGGTCTGGTGGAAGGTGCCCCCTGACCATGGTAGGGGGTGGAACAGGATAAGCTTTAAGATCCCCTCCAACTCAAACTGTTCTGGAATTCTTTGGTTCCACATGGCATTGGTTGGGCAACAGGATTTATTCCCACTCTTCTCTGCTTCCAGGGGGGACTGGCTGCTGAGCTTTGTTTACAGAACCTCCTCTGTCCAGCTCAACGTCGCAGGCCTCCAGCCAGTGGACCTGGATGACAGGAGGATGGTGAACATGGACCTTTCCTCTGTGGTAAAGTCTCATATTCTCATTTTTTATCCATCATTCTTTGCCTACAGCACTGTAACCCCACACTGACTGTGCTGGAGAAGCTGGGGATGGAAGAGAGTCCCTCTAGGTATTTTGTCCCTCTTTCCTGTCTTTGAGAGAACTCTTACCCACACTTCCATCTGGATTTTGTTGGCCTGGCTAAAGCTCAACACTGAGCAAAACAATGAGAATCTGCCTCTCCTATTGGATATGCTTGGGGTTTTTTGAGGTTTTTTGGTTCTGACATATCTCATAGTCAAGATAGAAAATATTATTACTCCTCAAGAAGGGCCTTGCTGTCAGAGAATCCTGGAATGGTTTGGGTTGGAAAGAGCCAAGTCCCAAGCCCTGTGAGTGTGGATCCCGGGGAGGTGGGATCAGCAGCTGGAAAACGTGGATCTCAAACACGCGCCCACACGGCAGGTGCAACTCATTATCTTATCTTGGTGGAGCCTTCACACTGCTCGGGTTCAGCAGGAACAGGCTCCTGGCCCTTGTACCTTGGTCCCCAGGGCTGCAGGAGCCGGAACTGGTTTGGAATTACAGAAGCTCTGTGATAGCAGCAGGTGGTTTGCCAGGTCCTGCTGCCTTTTCAGAGTGTGTGTCTCCAGGAAACAGGGAGAGATTCACAAGTATATCTGGGAAACATTTCGCTTCCTCAAAGCTGTCTGGTGTCATTAGTGATAAGCCACTGTTAGAACATCTGGCAATATATCTAAGCAATATTCAACTCAATTATCTTAAACTCATAACCATGTTGCTGTCTCTTCCACAGAGGAAGTGAGCTTTTCCACAGAAAACCATGCAGAACTTATCTTGTGTATATCCATATCCACAGAAATCTCGGATATGCCATTGTGTTTTTTCCATATCTTAATGTTTTAATTTATTGTTTACTCTCTGCCAACTGGAAGATGCCCAACACAAAGCTCAGGGTACTTCCTGAGTGTCCCCACAACCTGACAGGGACCATCAGTGCTGCTCTGGAGCTAAAGGCATTTTGAAGAGCTTTTAGATTTTTTGGAGCACCAGCTTGCTGAGCCTATAAATACCCAACTGTTCTCAACTCATTCATGATAACTGAGCTCTGCACAGCCCTTGGCAGCACACACAGGGCTTGATGCTGAGCAGAGAGAACAGACACTTGGAGGAACAAAACAGGGGCTTCCCAGGAGGAAGGGGTTTAGTGGAGGCTTTTAAATGTGGACCATGCATCTTTGCATCTCTCTGCCTTGTCAGCATTTCCACACTCCCACGTCCATTTTCTCACCATCCCAGAGCTGCCAGTAGTCACTTGCTCTCTGACAACTGTTGCTGGCATGGAAATGGCCCAAGATGTCAAGTGATGGCATGGGGGTGAAGTTTCCTGTCAGTCAGTCCATGTCACCCCTCTCTCTTTGAGTTCTCTTCAGAAAGACCCTCCTTCTCATGACCCTCTGCTTCCTGAAGCATGAAACCCCCCGGAGCCCTGCACACTTTATTCTGCTGGATCACAGCAGCTTCTCCAGTCCCCTCAGAGGAGCAGGATTTACATTTCAGCTGAATGAATAAGGTTTGCAGAGCTGCTCTCTGCTCATCTCCCAGGGCTGTGTGTCTGCATCCTGGCTGCCTGCTGCCAGCAGTCAGTCCCAGTGCTGCTCTCCTTCTGAAGGAATTGACACTTCCTTCATCTCACTGCAAAGCTCTGGGGAGGAAAAACGTATGTTAAGTAGGTGTCATTGCCTTGATCCCTTTTCCAGACCATGGGAAGAAATACAGTGCATTCTGGTGAACATTTTAGAAATAAAAGGAGAAATAAAAAGAATGGGGAAGGAAATATTTTTTAAAGTGGCGAGAAAGCAAAGATGGATTTTGCTGCAAGTACAGTGCAGTAGCATAACAGAAAAATACAAAGTGTTATTTAGAGATATATAGAGAGATGCAGGTATTTTCTTTATGGAGACCAGCTCCACCCCTGCAGCTGCCCATGTAGGAGGTCCCTGTGAGTGTCCTGCCAGGAGAAGGACAAACTGTGATAGAAGAATAATGTATAGCTGATACAAAGGTGCTCAGCATGAAAATACTACAAAGGCACCATCAGTATTTTTGGCATCTCCTGGTCCATCCATAATGAAACTGGTCTGTATCCAAACAGCTTGGTTCTCTTTGCTGTGGTAGCACCAGAATCCTCAAATGAGTGGAGGATTAGGAGCCCTCAGTATAAACAGGAATTCACCTCCAAGGCCTCTGTCTCATGTCTCTCTTGATTAGTGTGGTTTTTATCTGGCTGTCAGTAAAAAAGCAGGGAGAAAAATGTCCTCCCACTCAGCAAATGCAGTTATAAAATCCTTCCTCATGGTTACAAAGGGGCTGATTTATTCTGTGGATTTATTTGACAGCACCTGTTAGAGACCAAAGAAGTTGTGGAGCTGCAGGGGATTATCCTGATTGCTGTTTGTTCCCAAGGGAGTTTGTTCAGTGCAGTCTGAATTAATTTTTGAATATTGCAGAACTGCTTAAGGAGCAGCTTCAGGGAGGCTCAGGAGTCAGCAACAAGTCAGGAATGGGCATTTTCACAGCAGCAGCAATTAGGGATGAACTTACAGGTATAGAGGCAGTGAGAATAAATGGCTGGAAGTCCAGGGGAGAGCAGGGATGGATCTTAGAATTGTGGAATTGGTGAGGGGGAAAAAGATCTCAAGCAACCATTGAGGCCAGTCGTTCCCTCAGCACTGCCAAGGCCACCACTAACCCATGTCCCCAGGTGCTACATCCACATGGGTTTTAAACCCCTCCAAGGAAGGGAATGCCATCCTTGCCCTGTGACAGGGCTGAACAGCCTTTTCCATGGAGAAATTTTCCCTAATACTCAATCTAAATGTCCTCTGGCACAGACTGAGGCTGTTTCCTCCTGTCCTCTCACTTGTCACCTGGGAGAAGAGACCAACCCCCCACCAGGATCCACCCTCCTGTCAGCTCTCAGAAAAGGGACCCAAATTCCCATTATGAGGGAGGACAGATTCGAGGCAGTCGGGTACATCAGTACCATATGCAGATGGAAAGTCTGAATTTTGTGAAATCCAATTGATTTGGCACTTCTGTGAGTCAGGCTTTTTTTCTCCAAACACATTAAATTGTGTCTTATATCACTGTATTCCCAAGACTTGCAGCAAGGAATTAATTGTGGTTACAAAATGTGGATTAATTAAATACTCTGGGGAGTTGGAAAGGCAAAAAAAAAAGTTGCCAGTATGACATTGCTCCTTTGTTTCACTTGTTCCCAGTGAGCAGTGCCACCTCCCTAAGGGCAGGATCAGAGGAACAAGAGCTTGGAGCAGAACTCAGCTTCAGGCAGCTGCCTGGAGAATCTGGGAGAGCTCCTCTCCCCTCAGAGCAATATCCAGGGCCTTGTGGAAACAATTCCATCTGTCTGTTCGGATGTGAGGTCACAGGGATGGCTTCCACACCCCTGGAATCATCAGTGGCTTCATCTTCTGTGCTCCTCATTGCTGTTGATTTGGGAGCTCCAAGAATCCCACATTAATTACATATTCAATAAGTTTTTCCCTTTGGGACACAAGCAGAGGGTGCTGGCAGTGTCACTGTGTAAGAACAGAGAAAGAAACTGAAAAAGCTTTTCCAAAAAAAAAAAAAAAATGCAAACCAGACCATTAATAACTTGCAGTTTGTTTTTGCTTTGTGGCTGACAAACCTCAAAGGCTGATGTCCCTCCTCGCTCCAGCACACACGGACTGCTCGAGCTGGATGTGCTTTGTGGGAGCCTGGGGATGCTCAGCTGCTTCTAAAGGCAGAGAGAACCATTTTACAGGACTCATATTTCATAAGACTAGTGCCCAAATTCCCAAATTCCTACAACTGGAAACAAACAGAGTGCCACAGTTTCCTGCAGCTCTACAGGAGGGATTTTTCCATTCCCCTATGGTGCCTGGTGCGTATCCTTCCACAGGGGATTTCCACATTATCTGTGGAGTGAGTAGAGTGTCCACAGCCCCCAGCTACCCTGGGCAGGGCTGAATTCCTGGGACTGCAGCTTCTCCTTCACAAGAGCTGAAGGGACCAATGTCATGTTTGAGTTTCTCATAGGTGGTCTGTATTTCCATCAAATGCAGTCCAGCAGAGGAAATTCACTGTTCCTTTGCAGAGCCAGCAAAGTTGTGATGCCAGCACATCTTTCTCCTGTGGAACTTAGCAACTGGGATCACAAATCACCTTTGACAGATTTTCTATTCCCCCTTAGAGCACTTGGCATGTGGAAATGGGACAGTTCCTGCAAGTGCAGGCACTGCAGCCCTGTTCTTTCCTGGTTTGCAGTAGGCAGGTCTGTTTGCAGGCAGTTTTCCCCATCCCACCCCTTCCTGGAGCTATGTGGTGGGAGTTTTCCCAAAGTACTGTTCAGCTGGATTCTTCAGGAACGGCCACACAGAGCCTAGGCAAATGAATTAAGGATAGAAAATTCAGCTTTTAATTTCCTGTCTTCTGCTGGAATAGGAATACTGATTCTGTATCATTTCTCTGCTCCCTTTGAGTTCCCATTCTGACCTTCCCAGCTAACATGGAAACAATATCTCAGCGGAACAGCCAATTAGAAGTGTTAATCAAAGGGAAGGCTGACTTTGCTGACACCTTGTGCACATCATATGTTTGAGATGCTGAAATTAGAGCAGTTGAATTATTGATAAGAGCTGAATGTCACTGAAATACCACGAAGGTGTTGCTGCCCTGGTGACACTGGAGGAAGGGGAGGGCTTAAACCTACTGCAAATCCCCGTGAGGTGGATTTATAGGGTATCACATTGCTGAGGAGAGACATGGCACTACTCCACAGCTCTTGGAATTTTCCAAGTGCCCAAGACTTCTTGCCCAGACACGTTATTGCCATGAGGGATGAGTCAGAACAGGTCATTGTCCCCAAAATCAGCAAAAACTCCTTTAGTTAATCTCAGAGACTGGGCTGAGAACCTGGTTTGAAAACAGCAGAGATG